TGCCCTCAGAACAGCCTCAATTCATCGGGGGATGGACTCTACAAGGTGTTGAAAGCATTCCACAGGGATGCTGGCCCATGTTAACTACAATTCTTCCAACAGTTGTGTCAAGTTGGCTGGATATCCTTTGGGTGTTGGACCATTCTTGATACACACAGGAAACTGTTGAGAGTAAAAAACTCAGCAGCGTTGCAGTTCTTGACACATACTGGTGCGCCTGGCACCTGCTACCATAACCCGTTCAAAGGCACTTCAATCTTTTGTCTTGCCCATTCACCCTCTGAATGGCACACATACCCAATCCATGTCTCAATTGTCTCAAGGCTTAAAAATCCTTATTTAATCCATCTCCTCCCCTTTATCTACACTGATTGAAGTGGATTTAACAAGTGACATCAATAGAGGATCATAGCTTTCACCTGGTCAGTCTATGTCAGTGTTTCCCTAACTCGGTCCTCGGGACCCCAAGGGGTACACGTTTTGGTTTTTGCCCTAACACTAGACCGCTGATTCAAATTATCAAAGCTTGATGATCAGCAGATTATTTGAATCATCTATGTAGTGCTAGAGCAAAAAACAAAACGTGCACCCCTTGGGATCCGGAGGACCGAGTTTTGGAAACCCTGGTCTATGTCATGGAAAGAGCAGGTGTTCTTAATGTTTTGTATACTCAGTGTATAATGAAGCGATGCTCATGTCTCCGCCCTGACAATGGGAGCCGTTATCCCAAAGGCAGGAAGGCAGGTGACAATCTAAGGTCCAAAATAAGCCCATAGAAACACATTGGGCTTATTTAAGACAGATTTTGGCGAGAGTGAAACCTCTCACTTCGCCTCTTCTTCTCTGGATTCAGGATACACTCTTTTCACGCCATTTCACCCGGTGGGCGGTGCCAGTGGTGTAAAGTACTTAAGTAAAAGTACTTTAAAGTACTACTTAAGTCGTTTTTTGGGATAGCTGTACTTTACTTTACTATTTCTATTTTTGACAACTTTTACTTTTACTTCACTACATTCCTTAAGAAAAGAATGTTATTTTTACTCCATATATTTTCCCTGACACCCAGAAGGACTCATTACATTGTGTATGCTTAGCAGGACAGACAAATGGTCCTCCAATTCACACACTTATCAAGAGAACATCCCTGGTCATTCCCACTGCCTCCGATCTGGCAGACTCACTGAACACACAAGGCTGTGTTTATTGGGTGTTTCCTCTTCTCATGTATATTTGTAATTTATTTGAACGTATTTGTTGATATGAACAGCTTTTGTATTCCCGCGTGGCTTATATTGATTGTTGTTACTCTCATAGCTCTGATCCCCCTGCTGACCCCACAGTTTTGGGAACCACTGTCTTAGACCAATAGGAAATTCCATCTTGGTCCGAGGGCAGACACTGGGTTTGAAGTTCGCAGGCAGGGCTACCTCATTTCATGACCATGAGCAACCATGCCTGACTCAATGTCCATTACACAGAGCAAAAGCCCTTATGACCTTCACCATGCTAGCAAACCGTTGGACAAACTGTTGGGAGAAAATGTGTTTGAACAAAAACAATGCTATTTCTCTGTAAACAAATTGACAACAGACTTTCAGCATGCTTATAGAGAAGGGCACTGACACAAATGACTGATGATTGGTTGAAAGAAATTGATAATAAGAAGATTGCGGGAGCTGTGTTGTTCGATTTCAGTGCAGCCTTTGATATTATTTACTATAACCTGTTGTTGAGAAAACGTATGTTTTAGGGCTTTTCAACCTCTGCCATATCATGGATTCTTTCATGTAAGCCTCTCTAATGTCAAACATGTAGGGTGTGATGTACCGCAGGGAAGCTCTCTAGGACCTCTACTTTTTTCTATTTTTACCAATGACCTGCCACTGTCATTAAACAAAGCCTGTGTGTCCATGTACAGTGGGGAAAAAAAGTATTTAGTCAGCCACCAATTGTGCAAGTTCTCCCACTTAAAAAGATGAGAGAGGCCTGTCATTTTCATCATAGGTACACGTCAACTATGACAGACAAATTGAGGAAAAAAAATCCAGAAAATCACATTGTAGGATTTTTTATGAATTTATTTGCAAATCATGGTGGAAAATAAGTATTTGGTCACCTACAAACAAGCAAGATTTCTGGCTCTCACAGACCTGTAACTTCTTCTTTAAGAGGCTCCTCTGTCCTCCACTCGTTACCTGTATTAATGGCACCTGTTTGAACTTGTTATCAGTATAAAAGACACCTGTCCACAACCTCAAACAGTCACACTCCAAACTCCACTATGGCCAAAACCAAAGAGCTGTCAAAGGACACCAGAAACAAAATTGTAGACCTGCACCAGGCTGGGAAGACTGAATCTGCAATAGGTAAGCAGCTTGGTTTGAAGAAATCAACTGTGGGAGCAATTATTAGGAAATGGAAGACATACAAGACCACTGATAATCTCCCTCGATCTGGGGCTCCACGCAAGATCTCACCCCGTGGGGTCAAAATGATCACAAGAACGGTTAGCAAAAATCCCAGAACCACACGGGGGGACCTAGTGAATGACCTGCAGAGAGCTGGGACCAAAGTAACAAAGCCTACCATCAGTAACACACTACGCCGCCAGGGACTCAAATCCTGCAGTGCCAGACGTGTCCCCCTGCTTAAGCCAGTACATGTCCAGGCCCGTCTGAAGTTTGCTAGAGTGCATTTGGATGATCCAGAAGAGGATTGGGAGAATGTCATATGGTCAGATGAAACCAAAATAGAACTTTTTGGTAACAACTCAACACGTCGTGTTTGGAGGACAAAGAATGCTGAGTTGCATCCAAAGAACACCATACCTACTGTGAAGCATGGGGGTGGAAACATCATGCTTTGGGGCTGTTTTTTCTGTTTCCTTCCATCAGCAAGGGCATTGAAGATGAAACGTGGCTGGGTCTTTCAGCATGACAATGATCCCAAACACACCGCCCGGGCAACGAAGGAGTGGCTTCGTAAGAAGCATTTCAAGGTCCTGGAGTGGCCTAGCCAGTCTCCAGATCTCAACCCCATAGAAAATCTTTGGAGGGAGTTGAAAGTCCGTGTTGCCCAGCGACAGCCCCAAAACATCACTGCTCTAGAGGAGATCTGCATGGAGGAATGGGCCAAAATACCAGCAACAGTGTGTGAAAACCTTGTGAAGACTTACAGAAAACGTTTGACCTGTGTCATTGCCAACAAAGGGTAGATAACAAAGTATTGAGAAACTTTTGTTATTGACCAAATATTTATTTTCCACCATAATTTGCAAATAAATTCATTAAAAATCTTACAATGTGATTTTCTGGAATTTTTTTCTAATTTTGTCTGTCATAGTTGGCGTGTACCTATGATGAAAATTACAGGCCTCTCTCATCTTTTTAAGTGGGAGAACTTGCACAATTGGTGGCTGACTAAATACTTTTTTTCCCCACTGTATGCTGATGATTCAACCATAAACGTGTCAGCAACCACAGCTAATGAAGTCACTGAAACTCTTAACAAGGAGTTGCAGTCAGTTTTGGAATCGGTGACCAGTAATAAACTGGTCCTGAACAACTCTAAAACTAAAAGCATTGTATTTGGTACAAATCATTCCCTAAGCTCTAGACCTCAGCTTAATCTGGTAATGAATGGTGTGGCTGTTGAACAAGTTGAGGAGACTAAATTACTTGTTGTTACCTTAGATTGTAATCTGTCATGGTCAAAACATATAGATTCTATGGTTGTAAAGATGGGGAGAGGTCTGTCCGTGACAAAGAGATGCACTGCTTTTTTGAAACTACACTCCAAAAAGCAAGTCCTGCGGGCTCTAATTTTGTCTTAACTTGATTATTGTCCAGCCATGTGGTTAAGTGCTGCAAAAAAAGACCTAGTTAAGCTGCAGCTGGCCCAGAACAGAGCGGCACGTCTTGCTCTTCATTGTAATCAGAGGGCCAATATAAATACTATGCATGCCAGTCTCTCTTGGCTAAGAGTTGAGGAGAGACTGACTGCATCACGTTTTCTTTTTATAAGAAACAATAATGTGTTGAAATATCCAACTTGTTTTCAAAGTCAACTTACACACAGCTCTGACACACACACGTACCCCACCAGACATGCCATTGGGCGTCTTTTCACAGTCCCCAAATCCAGAACAAATTCAAGAAAGCGTACAGTATTATATAGAGCCATTATTGCATGGAACTCCCTTCCATCTCATATTGCTCAAATGAACAGCAAACCTGGTTTAAAAAAACAGATAAAACAACATCTCATGGCACAACGCCTCCCCGTATTTGACCTAGATATTGTGTGTATGTATTGATATGTAGGCTATGTGTGTCATTTTTACATTTGTGTAGTTCTGTCGTTGAGCTGTTCTTGTTTATTAATGTTCTGTATTATGTTATGTTTCATGTGGACCCCCAACAGCTAATGGAGATCCTAATAAAATACAAAAATACCAAATACTGGCTTTTACATGGTCAAACTTCTATGACAAGCATTTCGCTGCACCTGCGATAACATCTGCAAATTTGTGTACACGACCAATAAACGTTGATTTGAATAATTAAGACATGTATATCCAATCATTGCAGAGGTGTGATGCATCTTCAAATTATTGGAACAGCTTGTTAGGGGTCTAGTACAGGGGTGGGCAATAATTTTGTCTCAAGGGCCACCCCACAATTTCAAAATTCAGAAAAAGGGCAGTTATTTGAAAACGTATAGCTCCATTATAATTTCTACATAGTCTAATAGTCTCTATCTACTTTTAGACGTTCACGAGTGGCCTGGAGTGTTTAAAAATAATAATAATAATAATAATAATAATTCCATCCCCACCAAAACATTTATATTTTTACTCAAACCTTCCACGGCCAGGGGTATGTTGCCCAGCCCTGTTTTAGAAGAACGGTAGGACCAGGACACTGCAGTCAGTGCAACAGAAGAGCTATTAATGTAATAGCCGTTAGAGGGCGCTATTTCGTTCCTCTTCTTTTGGAAAGGGTGGATCCACCAAGATTCTGGAGGAAAAAAATAGCTAGTTGGCTAGCAGTCGCCTCTCGGATCAATCCATTACCAGTACTGGTCCCATTTGAAGACCCCGGGAAAAAGTCGATAGGTTTCCGAAACTGTGGTGTTGAGAGGTGATGCTGGGAGTCGTAGAAATGACGGGCAGGTAAGATTTTGGACCCAAGTAAGATCACTCGAATTCACAGCAGGCTACCATGCTAATAGCTAGCCTGGCAGCTAACGTTAGCTAATTTGTTTGGTGCACTGTATGTGGCAAAGTGTAACACCTCTAGCAACTTTTTATGATGGCCTTGAAACGGTATATTGGTTTTAAATAAAGTGAACTAACTAGTTAGCTTGCTAACCTGACTGCTACAGTAGCCTAGTAACGTTAATCAGTGGACGTGTGTGTTGGGAACTAGCTAGCTAACTAGCTACTTCAAACTCCGTTTTTCTCTCTAACTAGGGAACGTTAGCCTCTTAGTTGGTTAGTTTCTCTTCAACTTTTAGGTCTAAATATTCCATCTGTTTTCAGATTTCAACAAGTGTGATTAGACTAGTGATTATTTTGATAATTACACACGATCTATTTGTAGGCCATGTTGTAATTTATTGGCACTTGATTTGGGGTATAGGAATAAGCCAAATGAGTGTTGAGGCGACACAGACACAATACGTGTCTCTGATCTGTTAAATGATAAACCAACACTGAATACCTTCAGACAGCTATGCTCTATGTTGTCTGACTGCTCTCAGATGACCAAATTAGGAGACAGACCCTGAGCAACCGCAGAGAGTCTGTGTGTCTCATCACAGTGTCTCCATGGTGACAGCAGTGGTGTGTGAGTAAGGACCAGTTTATGTCCCAAATGGCACCCTATTCCCATATGTAGGGTACTAGTTTTGACCAGGACCCATTGGGCTGTGTTTAAAAGTACTGCACTATATAGGGAATAGAGTGCAATTTGGGACGTACCCCCACTCTGTAAAACACTGACCTGTAGTAAAGAGGAACATATAGTGACCTTTGCCAGTATTGTTACTGGAAAAACACACAAGGTGGATTTACAACAGCCCAGCAGTTCTGCATTGGAATAACTTAAACTTTGGATTTCGTTCACATTGCATTAGCCTTTTCAAGCCGCCTCCAGGAGAATATGTGGCTGTGTGATAGCCAGAGTGCCAGTCTCTTGGTGCTATCATGCCAATGACTGCAATCAATTGAGTTGGCAAGAACACAAACAGATCTGGGTTAACTTCATGGGGATTGGGGTGTCAAAAAGTGATCAACAGAACAACTGCAAATAATTGTGGAGTTTGTCGTCTGTTCTGATCGTCATACTTTCTTTTTTGTCACCATAGCAACATGGCGAACGCCCTGGCAAACGCGTCCTGCGAGCGCTGTAAGAGCGGCTTCGCCCCGGCAGAGAAGATCGTCAACAGCAACGGGGAGCTGTACCACGAGGGCTGCTTCGTCTGCGCACAGTGCTTCCAGCAGTTCCCTGAGGGGCTCTTCTATGAGGTAGACTAACACAGGGCATAAAATGTAGGGTTGCAAAATATCCTGTAATTTCCCCCCAAATTCCCAGGTTTTTCCAAAAATCCTGGTTGGAGGATTCTGGATTTCCGGCTTATTCCCTCCAGGATTTCGGGAAAACTGGGACATTTTTTGGAAAGTTGCCGCTAATCAAATGTCAAACTGATCAATGTTTGGGTTTACTGTGTGAGTATCCTGGTAAAAATGTCCTCATTTTCTCCCTGACAGTTTGAAGGCAGGAAATACTGTGAACATGACTTCCAGATGCTCTTCGCTCCCTGCTGCCACCAGTGTGGTGAGTACGTACACACACTCACAGAATCTCCATGTAAATCCCCTGTGTGAATGTGTGTGTTCTCATGTTGTATTGGTGTGGGTGTGTTTTCATGTTGTATTGGTGTGGGTGTGTTTTCATGTTGTATTGGTGTGGGTGTGTTTTCATGTTGTATTGATGTGGGTGTGTTTTCATGTTGTATTGGTGTGGGTGTGTGTTCTCAGGGGAGTTCATCATTGGCCGTGTGATCAAGGCCATGAACAACAGCTGGCATCCTGAGTGTTTCTGCTGTGATATCTGCCAGGCTGTGCTCGCTGACGTCGGCTTCGTCAAGAACGCTGGCAGGTGAGTCCCCAGCCAATCACACTGCACATTATACAGGAGCAGATGAGTAGTCAACCAATCACACTGCACATTATACCATGGTAGGTGAATATTTAACCAATCACAAGAAATACAAATAAATACTCACATAAGTATGTTTGTACATACAGTGCTGTGAAAAAGTATTTGCCCCCTTTCTGATTTTTCTATATTTTTGTTATTTGTAAACTCAGGTTCCCTTTATCTAATATTAGGTTTTGGTTGAAGATCTGATAACATTCAGAATCTAAAATATGCAAAAGCAGAGAATCAGAAATGGGGCATAGTTTCCCCCAGGCCTGTAAATAAAGCATAGGAGCGACTTCTACTGTTCACACCCTTTCCCCTTCTTATTACACCCCTGGACTTTTTCCACATGTTGTTACGTTACAGCCTTATTCTAAAATGGATGTCCTCATCAATCTACACACAATACCTCATAATGACAAAGCCAAAACAGGTTTTTATACATTTTTACAAGTTTATTACAAATAAAAAAACAGATACCTTATTTACATAAGTATTCAGACCCTTTGCTATGAGACTCGAAATTGAGCTCATGTGCCTCCTGTTTCCATTGATCATCCTTTAGATGTTTCTACAACTTGATTGGAGTCCACCTGTGGTAAATTATATTGATTGGACATGATTTGGAAAGGCACACACCTGTCTATATAAGGTCCCACTCACGGCTGTAATCGCTGCCAAAGGTGCTTCATCAAAGTACTGAGTAAAGGGTCTGAATATTTCAGTTTTTATTTTATAAATTAGCAAACATTTCTACAAACCTGTTTTTGCTTTGTCATTATGGGGTATTGTGTGTAGATTGATGAGGGGGAAAAAACAAGGCTGTAACGTAACAAATGTGGAAAAAGTAAAGGGGTGTGAATACTTTCCGAAGGCACTGTACATACATAGGATGACACCATTCTGCTTTGTCCCTACCCAGGCACCTGTGTCGGCCCTGCCATAACCGTGAGAAGGCTAGAGGTCTGGGGAAGTACATCTGTCAGAAATGCCATGCCATCATCGAGGATAGCCCCCTCATCTTTAAGAACGACCCCTACCACCCCGACCACTTCAACTGCAACAACTGTGGGTCAGTACGCTTCACAGCTCCCTCCTGATATTTAACATAATATGTTCCTGATCCAATTATGTGGTTCAGTCAGTATTTGGAATAATAAAAAGCAAGAGTCTATAATATGTTACCATTTACCGTGCTTGAAAAGCACTCAGAATTGCTGGAGTTTGTGTGTGTGTGTGTTGGTTCCTCTGTAATGTAATGGTGTATAATGTTTGTCCCTCCTCTCTCCCTGTAGTAAGTAGCTGTAGTAATGTTTGTCCCTCCTCTCTCCCTGTAGTAAGGAGCTGTAGTAATGTTTGTCCCTCCTCTCTCCCTGTAGTAAGTAGCTGTAGTAATGTTTGTCCCTCCTCTCTCCCCGTAGTAAGGAGCTGTAGTAATGTTTGTCCCTTCTCTCTCCCTGTAGTAAGGAGCTGTAGTAATGTTTGTCCCTCCTCTCTCCCTGTAGTAAGTAGCTGTAGTAATGTTTGTCCCTCCTCTCTCCCTGTAGTAAGGAGCTGTAGTAATGTTTGTCCCTCCTCTCTCCCTGTAGTAAGGAGCTGTAGTAATGTTTGTCCCTCCTCTCTCCCTGTAGTAAGGAGCTGACAGCAGATGCCAGGGAGTTGAAGGGAGAGCTGTACTGTCTGCCCTGCCATGATAAGATGGGGGTGCCGATCTGTGGCGCCTGCAGGAGGCCCATTGAGGGACGCGTGGTCAACGCCATGGGAAAGCAGTGGCACGTCGAGGTGTGTGTTTGTAAATTACATGATGGGCTCTAGTGGGATTTTATACATATTTGGACTCCAATGGAATGGTTTAGTCAGACGTTTGTTGAGTAGGCTTTTACAAAGAAATGATATGTTACATGTTCAGATAGTGTGTGTTTGATTGGACTGTGAGTAACTCTCTCTCCTCTCCATCCTGTGACATGTTTCTTTTCCTTCCAACACATTCCTTCATACTTTATTTTTCTCTACTTCCTCATCTTTGTGGCTTCTTTTACCCCTCTTCCTCCTCCTCATCTTCTTCCTCTTCCTCTTTCCGCCTCTTCCTCCTCCCCCTCTTCCTCTTTCCTCCTCCCCCCTCTTCCTCCTCCCCCCCTCTTCCTCCTCCTCTCCCAGCACTTTGTGTGTAGTGTATGTGAGCGATCTTTCCAGGGCCATCCCTACTATGAATGTAAGGGCTATGCCTACTGCGAGTGGCACTTTGACATGGTGAGAAGGGGGTTACATCCCAAATGGCTGTAGTCCCTATGTAGTGCACTACCTTTGACCAGAGCCCATAGTGTTCTGGTCAGAATTAGTGCACTATGTAGGGAATAGGGTGCCATTTGGGACACATGTAAGGAGAACGGAGGGCATTGTGTTCTCCTCCCACACATAGAAACTACAGGAAAGTTACATTGCATAGCTAGCTACACAGCGACACTTCAGCCACGTACACCCGTCATATGTCAAGAGACAAGAGGCATACCATTACCACGTTCATAGATAGCTTCTTCTTACCCAGAAATACATGGGTGTGGGTGCCCAAACACATGCACAATATTGCAATCTCTCACAACTTTACAGTGCTGATTTTAAATACAGTACAAGTAGTCTACAGCGCCTGGCCTGCCTGCTGTTGACATTCTCTCCACTAGATGTCACTGTTTCTCTGCCTGTCCTGAATGGCTGCTGTGTGTGACATGCATCTTTCTGACCAAGCCCCATTGAGGTACCTGGGCCGGCTGGATTCATAAAGCTCTGAGTAGGAGTGCTGATCTAGGATCAGTTTAGCCTTTAAAGGTCCCGGACAGTCATTCTGATTCCCATGTAAAATAGCCTTTTGAGTGACACAAATATCACCCATAATATTCGTTTTGCATAGAAATGCTCAAAATGTGAGAAATTACTTTTTCTCTAATGGCTAACTACCAGGAAGTTTGAAAAGACAGGCTGAGTGGGCGGGGAGCTTATATTCATGAGCTCACCTTGACTGACCGCTCCTTGAAACCCCTATGTCAAGCAACTTGGATGCAGTGATACACAAAGCAGCTCAAACATTTAAATTGCATCAAGTTTGGCATGTGTCTTGTGATGCGGTTCACAGCAGCACTGACGGATGTGTTGGCATGACAGCTGCGTCAGAGTTTTGAACGACCCTTCCCCCAGTCTTTTTGTTCCATGCTGGCTGAAGACCTAGCTTGCCAGTAACTAGATAACACCAGACACAGATGAAGACCTAGCTAACCAGGAACTAGCAAACACCAGACACAGATGAAGACCTAGCTAACCAGGAACTAGCAAACACCAGACACAGATGAAGACCTAGCTAACCAGGAACTAGCTAACACCAGACAGATGAAGACCTAGCTAGCCAGTAACTAGCTAACACCAGACACAGATCAGTGGGGAAACCTAGAGGTGTCTTTGCCATAGATGAATAGGGTAAACGTTTAATTATATTTGCTGACACCCTACAGTCAAATGTTGGCACCAGTAGAGTAGCTATCTAGCGATATAAACCATGCCCCTCCGCAAACACGCCTTCTCTGATGTTGGTTACAAGTCGGTACTTATTTAAATTAGGTAAGAGAATGTCATGTTACTATTGGTGTATTAAAATGAGTTTGGGTGATGTCACCCTATCCCCTTAATAATGAATCCAAGTGTTTGAAATGGAGGAGGGGACCAGTAACTTTATGATCAGACTTTATCAATGTAGAAGAAACAGTCATTTTTCATACTTTGGTCATCATACTTTGATCTGGTTTCATCCAAATATCATCTAATTTCATGAAAAACATGATTTTGACTGTTCATGACCTTTTAAGATCATAATGAATAACATTCCATGGACAGGTGGATCACCTGATCCTAGATCAGCACTCCTACTCTGATACCCTTTGTGAATACGTGCCCTGATGGCAGTTGACTAGAGTTAGCCAAGTTAGCTAACTTAACTGCTGTTTGCCAGTGAGTAGAGTTAGCTATTAGCCATGCTAACTTGGGGTGCTACTTCCCAGTGACTACAGTTAGCCATTATTCATGCTAACATGTGATGTTGCCTGTGTTTGCAGCATTTTGTGTGTGCTAAGTGTGAGAAGCCGTTCCTTGGACACCGCCACTATGAGAGGAAGGGTCTGGCCTACTGTGAGACCCACTACAACCAGGTAATAAAGCTATGATCTGACATTGAGACCAACTACAACCAGGTAATAAAACTATGATCTGACTGTGAGACCCACTACAACCAGGTAATAAAACTATGATCTGACTGTGAGACCCACTACAACCAGGTAATAAAACTATGATCTGACTGTGAGACCAGGTAATACAACTATGATCTGACTGTGAGACCCACTACAACCAGGTAATAAAACTATGATCTGACTGTGAGACCCACTACAACCAGGTAATACAACTATGATCTGACTGTGAGACCCACTACAACCAGTTAATAAAACTATGATCTGACTGTGAGACCCACTACAACCAGGTAATAAAACTATGATCTGACTGTGAGACCAGGTAATACAACTATGATCTGACTGTGAGCCACTACAACCAGGTAATAAAACTATGATCTGACTGAGAGACCCACTACAACCAGGTAATAAAGCTATGATCTGACTGCGAGACCCACTACAACCAGGTAATAAAACTATGATCTGACTGTGAGACCCACTACAACCAGGTAATAAAACTATGATCTGACTGTGAGACCAGGTAATAAAACTATGATCTGACTGTGAGACCCACTACAACCAGGTAATAAAACTATGATCTGACTGTGAGACCAGGTAATACAACTATGATCTGACTGTGAGACCCACTACAACCAGGTAATAAAACTATGATCTGACTGTGAGACCCACTACAACCAGGTAATACAACTATGATCTGACTGTGAGACCCACTACAACCAGTTAATAAAACTATGATCTGACTGTGAGACCCACTACAACCAGGTAATAAAACTATGATCTGACTGTGAGACCAGGTAATACAACTATGATCTGACTGTGAGCCACTACAACCAGGTAATAAAACTATGATCTGACTGAGAGACCCACTACAACCAGGTAATAAAGCTATGATCTGACTGCGAGACCCACTACAACCAGGTAATAAAACTATGATCTGACTGTGAGACCCACTACAACCAGGTAATAAAACTATGATCTGACTGTGAGACCCACTACAACCAGGTAATAAAACTATGATCTGACTGTGAGACCCACTACAACCAGGTAATAAAACTATGATCTGACTGTGAGACCCACTACAACCAGGTAATAAAACTATGATCTGACTGTGAGACCCACTACAACCAGGTAATAAAACTATGATCTGACTGTGAGACCCACTACAACCAGGTAATAAAACTATGATCTGACTGTGAGACCCACTACAATAAGGTAAACCTATGTGCTGTGTCCCAAATGGCACACTATTCCCTATGTAGTGCACTACTTTTGACCAGGACCCGTAGGGCTTGTGTCCACAACCTTTCATGCGATAGGGTTGCTGAGTTCTAGAGTTATTGCATGTTGTTCTGGCTGGAATTGACTGAAATTTAACGTTTGATAACGGTTAAATCAAGTGCTGTTTGGTGAATGAAAAGCTAATCTCTGCCGCTGTCTCAACCCTCTAGCTCTTTGGTGATGTATGCTACCACTGCAACAGAGTGATTGAAGGAGACGGTAAGCATAAACTATTGGAATTGATGAATTGTTTTAGAATGATCTAAAGCCATAATGGAGTTCCTCTTCCTCTCGTAGTGGTGTCAGCCCTGAACAAAGCATGGTGTGTCAACTGTTTCTCCTGTGCCACCTGCAACACCAAGCTCACCCTCAAGTATGTTATTATTACATTATTATTATATAGGAGTAGTATTATACTGGGCTCTTCCCTGTCTGTCGTTGTCCTGCTGTCCTCTCAATCTGGCTGCGTCCCAAATGACACCCTATTCCCTATAAAGTGTAGTAGGGTGCCATAGGGATACAGTCTGTGTTCTCTAACCTTCCTCCTATTGGACACAATCTGTGTGTTCTCTAACCTTCCTCCTATTGGACACAATCTGTGTGTTCTCTAACCTTCCTCCTATTGGACACAATCTGTGTGTTCTCTAACCTTCTTCCTATTGGACACAATCTGTGTGTTCTCTAACCTTCCTCCTATTGGACACAATCTGTGTGTTCTCTAACCTTCCTCCTATTGGACACAATCTGTGTGTTCTCTAACCTTCCTCCTATTGGACACAATCTGTGTGTTCTCTAACCTTCCTCCTATTGGACACAATCTGTGTGTTCTCTAACCTTCCTTCTATTGGACACAATCTGTGTGTTCTCTAACCTTCCTCCCATTGTACACAATCTGTGTTTTTCCTCTTATTTCACTAGTTTCCTGACTTAACTTCTCCACCCTGTGCTTTTTCCCTCCTCTTTTTCTTCTCTCCCCTCCCCTTCTCCTCTCCTCTCCTCGCTCCTCCTCTCCTCCTCTCCTTTCTCCTCTCCTTTCTCCGCTCCTCCTCTCCCCCTCTCCTTTCTCCTCTCCTCTCTCCGCACCTCCTCTCCCCCTCTCCTCTCTCCACTCCTCCTCTCCCCCTCTCCTCTCTCCACTCCCCCTCTCCTCTCTCCACTCCCCCTCTCCCCCTCTCCTCTCTCCACTCCTCCTCTCCTCTCTCCACTCCTCCTCTCCTTTCTCCTCTCCTCCTCTCCCCCTCTCCCTGTGGTGTAACAGAGACAAGTTTGTAGAGGTAGATCTGAAGCCTGTTTGTAAGCACTGTTACGAGCGGATGCCTGAGGAGCTGAAACGCAGACTGGCCCGGCGCGAGAGGGACGCCTCAAAAGACCGCAAAAAGAAACCTGTTATCTGTCTGTAGACCTTTCCAGTCCTCTTCCTCAGCTTCACTATCCTCCTCTCTCTCATTTCCCTCCATTGGTTAGTAATTCCACTTCCTGTCAGCTTCACTATCCTCCTCTCTCGTTTCCCTCCATTGGTTAGTAATTCCACTTCCTGTCAGCTTCACTATCCTCCTCTCTCGTTTCCCTCCATTGGTTAGTAATTCCACTTCCTGTCAGCTTCACTATCCTCCTCTCTCTCTAGCCTCCATTGGTTAGTAATTCCACTTCCTGTCAGCTTCACTATCCTCCTCTCTCTCGTTTCCCTCCATTGGTTAGTAATTCCACTTCCTGTCACCTTCACTATCCTCCTCTCTCTCGTTTCCCTCCATTGGGTAGTAATTCCACTTCCTGTCACCTTCACTATCCTCCTCTCTCGTTTCCCTCCATTGGGTAGTAATTCCACTTCCTGTCAGCTTCACTATCCTCCTCTCTCTCTAGCCTCCATTGGTTAGTAATTCCACTTCCTGTCAGCTTCACTATCCTCCTCTCTCTCGTTTCCCTCCATTGGTTAGTAATTCCACTTCCTGTCACCTTCACTATCCTCCTCTCTCTCGTTTCCCTCCATTGGGTAGTAATTCCACTTCCTGTCACCTTCACTATCCTCCTCTCTCGTTTCCCTCCATTGGGTAGTAATTCCACTTCCTGTAAGCTTCACTATCCTCCTCTCTCTCGTTTCCCTCCATTGGTTAGTAATTCCACTTCCTGTCACCTTCACTATCCTCCTCTCTCTCGTTTCCCTCCATTGGGTAGTAATTCCACTTCCTGTCACCTTCACTATCCTCCTCTCTCGTTTCCCTCCATTGGGTAGTAATTCCACTTCCTGTAAGCTTCACTATCCTCCTCTCTCTCGTTTCCCTCCATTGGTTAGTAATTCCACTTCCTGTCATTTTCACTATCCTCCTCTCTCTCATGTCCCTCCATTGGTTAGTAATTCCACTTCCTGTTCACTTTTCATTTAGCTTTTCCTATTGTCTTTGTTGTGTTTTTCCCCTCCAGTTTGCTTGATGTGTTCTGTTCTGTCATTGTTCTTCTGTTATGTGATTGTATGCATCCCAAATGGCACCCTATTGGTCCTGGTCAAAAGTAGTGCACTATAAAGGGAATAGGGTGCCATTTGGGAAGCAGACATTTTTATCAAAGCAGTAAGAGTGTAATGTGTCATCTTGCATATGATATGGAGGTAATTTGCCTTAAAAATCAAATATTTAGTGTTGGTGCCACTTCAATCCAACTGCCTGCGTTTCTATCCTTCATGCTAGTTGTGTGATCATAGTGTAACGTGCTGCTGTTCATGACAGTAATAATGAATGATAATAGATTTATTTGTAAAGCACAGTTCATACACACAATGCAATTCAAAATGGCACTTAAAACAAAATACTGACTGTGTCTCTCCTGTCCTCTGTTGACAGGAACAAGTTTGTGGAGTTTGACATGAAGCCTGTGTGTAAGAAATGTTACGAGAAGTTTCCTCTGGAGCTGAAGAAGAGACTGAAGAAACTGGCTGAGACCGTCGGACGCAAGTAGACCTCCGAGTACCAAGGGGGCGACACTCAACCCAACAACCAGGGTTACAAAATTCCAGTAACTTTCCCCAAATTTCCTGGCTTTCCGGATGTTCCATTTGGGCTTCTAGAAACCTGAGATTTTAGGAAAGTTACCGGAGGTTTCTAACCATACGAGCAACGCTGAAACCTAATATTAACCCTAACAAGCGCCAAAATTAGTCAAATTAATCGTATAAATGTGTCAGATTAGACTCCTGTCTGTTTGTACCAGTATTTTAGTATTTGACATCCTCAGGTACTCAGTATAACGTGTTGAAATATTTTGTCTCACTTTTTAATTGTTTATTTTTGTGCATTGCAAGTGGCTTTTGCATGTGGAGCTGTTTTCTAGCTGTCCAGAGTCTTATTCAAATAATATAGAACCTCATACTGCCTGACAATGACCTATGAAAGCATGGACAAAAAAAAAATGCGTTCAGAATATTTAGATACTTTTATGTGTGTTTTTTTTGTTTTGTGTATTATGTCTTAACTATGGCATACTTTTCAAAAGCCAAACATGTCTGAAATGGTCCTATCAGGACCCAGAGATACATACCTCAATGAGAACTCACTGGTGACATGAAATTTGGATTGGTCACGAGCCGACCACATTAACAGCCTTATATAGGGTTTATAACCTAAGCCGCCATGACATCTAACAAAATACTTACACACTGTCTTAAAGAGACGAGAAGGTGCTTCGAATACTCTTAAAATAGCTTTTGTCATGTGCCTTGGGTATGAATATACAAAACATTAACAGCTGATCAGGTGAAAGCTATGATCCCTTATTGAGGTCACTTGTTAAATCCACTTCAATCAGTAGATGAAGGGGAGGAGACTGGTTAAAGAAGGATTTTTAACTCAATATTAGGAAGGTATTCCTGATGTTTGGTATACTCAGTGTGTCAGATAATATGCATGTGATTGTCCAATATACTGGACCCACACTCAGACTAACTACAACTGCCTTAATCAGAGGTGAAAAGAATATTCCTCACTTCTGTGTAAGAATGAGAATTCTAGCCATGTATCAGAATGTGGAGCCTATGAGTCTGGTATATCATGTATCCTAACATTTGCTTGTAATAAAATGTCAGAGGTTTGTTTGAATATTACTCCCAACCGTTTCAGAGGGGGAGAGTGGAAAGGAATGTAGATGACATGTCTTAGACCACTACTCCATTTTGTGACATCACTGTGAGTTTATATCATGTATAAACAAGTTAGTGTTTCATGGAGCACATTTTCTTAAGTTGAAGAAGATAAATACATATGATAAACATACGTATATAAAGGTCTTAAACATACTAATAGTTGGGTTTGATTAACACTTTGCTAAAGGAGGTATTTTTGCATAAAGATAAATAATGGAAGATGCTTTATGAATTTGTTGACAATAAATCTAGTTATATAAGACAATTTAATAAACACGTAGTCGTTTCAGAGCCTGTCTATCAATAAACAAACGTTACGTAGTAAAAAAAGAATCCACCCAAACTAATGGTGAAAACTGATCATCGCTAGCTCATTCCCACAGAACACTGCAGAGGGAAGCGGTACCACCCAGTCAAACATCAGACTACATTGAGCGTACAAAACATTAAGGATACCTGCTCATTCCATGACATAGACTGACCAGGTGAAGCTATGATCCCTTATTGATGTCACTTGTTAAATCCAAGGATACCTGCTCTTTCCATGACATAGACTGAACAGGTGAAGCTATGATCCCTTATTGATGTCACTTGTTAAATCCACTTCAATCAATGTAGATGAAGGGGAGGAGACAGGTTGAAGGATTTTTAAGCCTTGAGGAGACAATTGAGACATTGATTGTGTATGTGTGCCATTCAGAAGGTGAATGGGCAAGACAAAAGATTTAAGTGCCTTTGAATGGGGTATGCTAGTAGGTGCCAGGCGCACCGGTTTGGTCAAGAACTGCAACGCTGCTGGGTTTTTCACTCTGATGAACTGTCACGAGTCCTTGAAGAAGAACTAGTTAGTCCATCAGTCCAATAGATGTCGCTGTTGGCTTTCCAACGAGACGGGAAGGAAGGTGTGATGTTTAGATCAGAGATTCGTCTCCCAGTGGAGGCTCCTCAGAGCAGGAAGAGCAGGAACGTTATTATTTTTAGATAAAACTATACTACATTTATTCACGTCACCAAATAATTGATTAAAACACACTGTTTTGCAATGAAGGTCTACAGTAGCCTCAGCAGCACTCTGTAGGGTAGCACCATGTTGTAGCCGGAGGACAGCTAGCTTCTGTCCTCCTTTGGGTACATTGACTTCAATACAAAACATAGGAGGCTCATGGTTCTCACCCCCTTCCATAGACCTACACAGTAATTATGACAACTGCAACCGATCAGAGCTCTTGCAGCATGAAATGTTGTCCACCCAATCAAAGGATTAGAGAATGAATCTAGTACTGAAAGCATAAACTACAGCTAGCTAGCACTGCAGTGCATAAAATGTGGTGAGTAGTTGACTCAAAGAGAGAGAAAGACAATAGTTGAACAGTTCTGAACAAATTAATTTATTCCAAAATTAAGGAGAAGCAAGAGAGAGAGAGCTAGCAATATTTCATATTTTTTTTACCCTTTCACTTACTTAGCTAGCAAATGCAGCTAGCTAGTTTAGCCTACTCAAACGCCCGGCTCAAACAGAGATGGATGCTATGTTAGCTAGCTGGCTATGGCTATCCAACACTGGAACTCTTTCAAGTAAAGGTAGCTTTTGGTTTTTGTAACTGCTAAACTGCTGACTGTCCACTGTACTGCATGATTGTAGCGGCTTTACTAACGCATTAGTTCTAGTAGCTATGTTGACTATGACGTTAATACGGTGACAACGATGTAGGCTGTGTGTAGCGGTTAGCGGTCATGCTATGAAGGTTTGGCTTGGAACGTTTTTGCGCCTGGTCAGCTGATGTGTTGTCCACTGAAGTCCACAAGCGAAGAGAAAAGGTGAGAGGAGGAGAGTGCATAGATAGATGCGCGCAAAGTGATCATGCTGTTTGTATGTGGCTGCTATGAAAGTGAACTGTGTTTGCGTGTGATCAGGGGTGTATTCATTTAGCCGATTCTGTTGAAAAACTTTTCTTAAACGGAAGCAAACAGGGATAAACATACCTGAATTTGTCCAATAGAAACTCTCATTTGCAACTGTTGAACTATTGATTACACCCTAGATGTCACGATCGTCGGATATAGAGGACCAAGGCGCAGCGTGGAAGGTGAACATACTTATTTATTAAATGATACACGAACAAAACAAATCAATAACGTGACGTCCTTGGTTACAATAAACACACCAACACGGAACAAGATCCCACAAACACTGTGGGAAAACCACCTGACTAAATATGGTTCCCAATCAGAGACAACCAGCAACAGCTGATACTCATTGCCTCTGATTGAGAACCACTCTGGCCAACATAGAAATACAAAAACTAGACACAACGAGCACAAAACATAAACTCTACACACCCCAGCTCAACTTAAAAGAGTCCCTAGAGCCAGGGCATGACAGTACCCCCCCCCTAAAGGCGCGGACTGCGACCGCGCCTAAACATCACCGAACAGGGGAGGGCTGGGTGGGCATTCCTCCTCGGAGGCGGTTCCGGCTCCGGGCTTGACCACCACCCTCTACTAACCCCCCCGTAGTGCCCCTGGTCTGGTCTAGCCCCACTGGCTGGAGCTGGACTGGACTTCGGTGGAGCGGATTGCTCAGGCTCCGGTGTGGAGCAGCTGACCGGTACCTGACCAGGCACCGGTGAAACGGGCACGGGCTGGCGATGCGCACCACAGGTTTGGTGCGGGGAGCAGGAACGGGCCGGGCCGGGCTGGCGACGCGCACCATTGGCTTGGTGCGGGGAGCAGGAACAGGCCGGGCCGGGCTGGCGACGCGCACCATAGGCTTGGTGCGAGGGGCAGGAACAGGCTGGGCCGGGCTGGCGACGCGCACCATAGGCTTGGCGCGATGGACAGGAACAGGCCGGACCGTACTGGGAACACACACCACTGGCCTTACACGGGGATCAGGAACGGGCCGGACCGGACTGGCAACACACTTCAGTACCTCTCGCCGTGCCTCTACATTTTCCTTCCCTCTATACACCAATGGCTCCCGTAACCCGGTGGCCTTCTCTCCTCGTCCACCAACTCGCCCCTTATCTGCCTCCAGTGGCCCCGTCGTCCCTGCCATGTGCCCCCCCCTAAAAATTTCTTGGGGGTGCCCCTCGCCTGTCCGACGACTGCCCGGTTGGCGCCGCTTCTCCTCTCCTGCCTGGGCACGCTGCTTGGTCCTGTATTGGTGCTTCTGTCACGATCGTCGGATATAGAGGACCAAGGCGCAGCGTGGAAGGTGAACATACTTATTTATTAAATGATACACGAACAAAACAACAAATCGATAACGTGACGTCCTTGGTTACAATAAACACACCAACACGGAACAAGATCCCACAAACACTGTGGGAAAACCACCTGACTAAATATGGTTCCCAATCAGAGACAACCAGCAACAGCTGATACTCGTTGCCTCTGATTGAGAACCACTCTGGCCAACATAGAAATACAAAAACTAGACTAGACACAACGAGCACAAAACATAAACTCTACACACCCTGGCTCAACTTAAAAGAGTCCCTAGAGCCAGGGCGTGACACTAGATCAGCTAGATGCAGGCAAGAGTGTACAAGGCGGTATTGAATGTGTCACTATCTGTCATCTTGATTACTCAAAATTCTTTCATTCATAGGCTAGGTTGTAGCAACCTCATGATGGGTACAGGGAAAAATGTAGTTGCGTAGTAGCCTACACTTATCGATGTTACATTGAGATGGGTGAATGGAATATTACATTTACATTTTAGTCATTTAGCAGACGCTCTTATCCAGAGCGACTTACAGCTAGTGAGTGCATACATTTTCATACTGGCCCCCCGTGGGAAACGAACTCACAACCCATGGCGTTACAAGCGCCATACTCTACCAACTGAGCTACAGGGGGTCCTGAATGAAGTGTCTAAGCAGCGAGTTAAAGACCAATGAAATCAGATTTCCTCCCGCTCTCAAAGGTTCCGTCATCATCCCATTCATTTGCGGAAGATGACTGATTAAATATTGTATTCATTAAATGTTTTTTGTTGTGTTAAAAATAGTAATATTAAAATGCCTATCACATTACATTAACTATACTTAATAAAAGAAAGGCACTTCTAATAGCGTATTCCACACCATATCCTGCTGAATTTGCAAGATAACATTTCTGCCGAAATCAAAATGAAAGAAAAGTTAATGTGATAGTCATCCAATATGCTGTAATAGAAATGATCATCCTTCCATCTTAAACGGCACCGACCGCCACTGTCGTCTCCTGTGTACACACCTAATCCTCCAAACACAGCGAGTTGAGTTGATGCCAAAGAGCTCCATTTTGGTCTCATCTGACCACAACACTTTCACCCAGTTCTCCTCTGAATCATTCAGATGTTCATTGGCAAACTTCAGACAGGCATGTATATGTGCTTTCTTGAGCAGGGGGACCTTGCGGGCGCTGCAGGA